CACTGGATGCCGGACAATTGGAGTTTTACTGTACTGCTTTAAAAAATATCGCAAAAACTGTGATGTATTAAATTGACTAGGACTGCTCCATGATTTTCAATAAAAAGAGACTTGATAAATCTGCAGTCCCAGATTATAGTCCACCTGAAGAACAAAACTGTTGACCAACAGAAAAAATGTGAATGAGAAGACAAATCTTTCACAAGAGAAGGGACAATTGGAGTTTTACTGTACTGCTTTAAAAAATATCGCAAAAACTGTGATGTATTAAATTGACTAGGACTGCTCCATGATTTTCAATAAAAAGAGACTTGATAAATCTGCAGTCCCAGATTATAGTCCACCTGAAGAACAAAACTGTTGACCAACAGAAAAAATGTGAATGAGAAGACAAATCTTTCACAAGAGAAGATCCTTGACTTTGAAACCACTCCCACAAGACAGAAGAATGACGAAGGGCCTACATTCATAACTCCTAGATTTCCTATATGTCTCTCCAAAGTGACAAAAAGGAAAGTTATATGAAGGTTAATGAACTCCTAAACAAGAAACTATATGTGAAAAGTATTTAGGCAGCGATGAACAGTGACCCTGGTGATGTATTTGACAAGCAGAGTTCAGATTAGAATTGTGACTTGTTTTGCAAACATAAGCTTCTCCTTGCTCCATGGCTAAGGACCCTTTACACAGAAAGAACTAGTGTAGTCTATGTCAAATAAATCAATACTACAGGAGGTGAAGTGCAGGGTAATGAAGACACACAAAGGCTATGTCTACACTACAAGGTTTTTGCGCAAAAACCTGCGGAGCATCCACACCTCAAATTAGCTCTTGCACAATTAAACGGGCAGTTAAACAGCAGAACAGAGGGCTTTTGCCAGTGTAGGTAAATCTCCGTTTCTGAGGCATAACTGCTTTTAGCGCTACAGCTATTGCGCAAGAAGGCAAGTGTGGATGCTCCAGAGGGATTTCTTGTGCAAGAAACCCCTATGGGAAAACACACAGGTGCTCTGATGACCATTCTGTGAATGGCCATCAGAGCTTTTTTGCACAAGAGCGTCCATGCAGTATGGATGCTCTCTTGCGCAAAAGCACAAAGCTTTTGCGATGCGCTTTGAGGTGTGGATGTGTTATTGCACAAGAAGTTCCTGTGCAAAAACTCTTGCGCAAAAGGCTTCTTGCACAAGAAGCCTGTAGTTTAAATGTAGCCAACGTGACTTAGGGTGGTGTACACTGATGTAGCTACACCAGAACAAAACCCACCACAGGTGTGCATCACCAATGTAAAGAAAAACTTGTACCAGTAAGATTTCTCCTGGATTTGAATATTCTTTAGTATATTAGTTACTAATATTATTTAGTAACTTCATAACACAAAGTGTCACCACATAATAGTCTGTACTGTTATATTTTAGGTGAAATGTGCTGTGAATTTATTTTTTGCTTACTTTAAAAGAAGCAAAACTCATTGATTTTGTAGACTAAGAGAACTGGCATGGTTCTGTGGTATTTTGACCAAAAAATGAGTGTAACTTCCTAGTTAAAGAGTTTGTAGGTGCTAGCAGTGGTTCATGCGCCATACTGTCTTCATCTGTTTCTCCAGAATTTAAGCTCAAATTATTTTCTAGGCTTTCTGGATAGGAACAAAATCCTTTAAATATGTGACCTGCAGTGAGTCTAAAATAAAAGATGTGAAATCTAATAGTAAGTTAAATGTCAACATAGTTAACTATTTAACTGCTGAACATGTTCTCTAAATATTCAAATATTCTGAATCTGTGGATAAATCTGAGTACTACAATTATTCTTCAAAAATGTGGAGACAGACTGTAAAATTTTTAGGACAGCTGTGTTTTACAGAGAACACTATCGGCAACTAGACAACAATTTCTCAATGTAATCCAGCATGAGGCTTTTTTTAAACAACCCATAAAATCATCCAAAAAAAAAAAAGTGAAAAAATAGATGGCACTGTCACAGCCAAAGATCTCAACGTTAGGCTTAAAAGAAATGTTGAACACATGCTGAGTATCCTGAAGCCTAACTCTGTAGCCTCGAACAAAATGCAGGGAAATAACTGTTATTGTTGATGCTGAAAATTTGGAAGGAACTGAGTGAGACAGAGCTTAATTACAAGTGATAAAAAAAACGAATGGGACAAGCACTATCTCCAGCTCATTTTAAGAACATAAGAAGGGCCATAGTAGGTCAGACCAAAGGGCCATCTAACCCAATATCCCATCTTCCCAACAGGGGCCAATACCAGATGTCCCAGAGGGAGGGAACAGAACAGGTTATCAACATGTGATCCCTTTCCTGTCATCCATTTCCAGCCTCTGACAAACAGAAGGTAGGGACACCATTCCTACCCATCCTGGCTAACAGCCATTGATGGATCTATCCTCCATGAATTTTTTGAACCCTGTTAAAATCCTTCACAACATCCTCTGGAAAGGAGTGCCACACGTTCCTTGTGCTCCGTGTGAAGAAAAACTTCCTTTTGTTTGCTTTAAAATTTTCTTGCAAACATTTTCAATAGGCATGTTAAATATTGGTTAATTAAATAGTCAATTAACCTCATGAATTATTGGACTATTCTATAGTCCCCGGGGGTGGGGCCAGCAGCCAGTATGCGCCAGCCCCACTGCCAAGGAGCCCCCTGCCACTCTGCACTGCTGCCTCTGTATCAGAGGCAGCTGCGTGGGATGCCAATCAGGAGCTGGTCCATGAGGGAAGCCAATTTAAAAACCAGCTCCCCTCACAGCCTGGCAGTTAACCTGTGCTGCTGCTTCTGATACAAAGACAGCAGTGCAGGGTGGCAGCAGCCCATCCAGCATGAGGGTCTGAGCTCCCAGACCCAGCACGAGCCAGAACTGAACCAGGCTGCCTGCTCACCTAGCTCCTAATACACTTTAAATGCAGAGCTACAGCATAGGTAGGTCCCG